CGAATGCAAATAAGTACCATATCTAGCATGGTTCGGCAGAAGAATTTGATATCAACGGAAAAGTTCAAGATAATTGCTAATGTTATATTTAACAAAGAGTTGAGGGTGATTGCTAATTGCTTAAACATCTGTTAAATGCAGGTCATCTACCTTTATTAATTACTGTTAGTTTGATCCCCGTCATTAATAAATTATTATGTGAGATATCATGGAGAGATCATTATTCGTGCTGCGTTGAATTTAAGGGAAATATGTTTTGGCAGAAAAGAGCATTAATTGTTCCTTTAAACATTAGAAATTCCCTCGAGCACAACGAGGATAATGCACCACTGACTATTTCCTGTCTGAATTATCATCATAACCATAAATTGTTCGAAAAAGTTTTATCACTTTTAAAATTATATTTATCAAGCAAGCATCTAAAATTCTTGAGCTTCAGTTAATCTTCATTTCGGAAACGTGCGTTTGCGAAATGTTGCCGTGCGTCCGGAAACGTGTTCTGGAACATTTTCTTAGTGTGAAATCGGGATATCGGAAAATAGCGTGAATATGAGGATCGTGTGCATTCGTGTCTATTCAGAATGACTATATTCACTCTAAGATGAGCTGCAAGTCTCAGCTGTGGAAATGGTTCATGAGTGAGAAGCAACAGGGTCGAGCGGACTGCCACATGACATCAAGTATTATTTTTTGTAATTTGAGCAAGGTTTTGGTGCCAGCAAGCTTTCCAAGTCACTTCTTTCTCTATCTGTCCCACAATTTAACTTTCATTATTTCAAAGCAATACCGGTCTTAAAGTCAGGTTTTGAAATCAGAAAATCGGTACAATTTATTCATAGCGGCCAACATAAAAACAGGTCTTGCTCTGTTACTATTATTACCGTGTTCTATGGGATATAATTTTACTGTAATGCAAACTCACAGTTAAGCTTCAAGTTGAACACTCGCTATTAAATAGTACTTCGGTTAGGAATCCATGTTTAATAATATTCTATAAATTTTGCGACATGCGACAAGAAGGAAATAATGACCCAAACCCGCATTGAACTCTGGAACAAGTTATGCAAGTTTACGAAGCAGGGCAGCAATAATGTAACGGACGCATTTCGCGTTAGCTTTTCAAATAATTGCAGTCGGGATACAATCTTTCCTGGTGTTCGTTTGAATTGAGCCGCTGCTTACGAAGTGTAAAATTTTTAATCGAGCGGCAGGCGTGCACAAAATTCAACCGAGCGGCAGTTGGGCACAATTAAAATTCAACCGAGCTGTAGGTGTAACAACAATCAACTAAGCTGCAGATGTGCACAGAATTCAATAAAACGGCAAGCGTTCAGTAAATTCAGAGTGGCAGGTGCCCAAAAATTCAAAATCCATTCTTTTGCTTTCGTACTCGAGGCGATGCACTAAACCTCGATTTGATCTGTACTTTTGTCTGCAGCTAAGAATTTGGTTTGAGCATTATACCGCCCTTCACCCAATGAGAGGCCATAGTATTTATGAGTATTTTTTCCTCTTTCTTATATACGGGTGGACAAAATAATAAAACACAAACAATATAAAGTTTGTAGACATAAGAATTTTTCAAATAATTTAAGCAATTTAGATTTACATGTTTTTATTTCCAGCTTATTTTTTATTTCCTGATGCTTGATTGAAATAAGTGTTTATTCGATGCGCCAGGCGACCTTCGCCGCCCCAGTCCGTGGTTGGGTTGGGATCGTTCAAGTTATATTGTAACTATCTGCTACTGGCTGCACACACACAGGAGAGCGCCACGGTGGGGTTTTGTGTGTGTTGTTTATGGATTGTCGTGGCTAGGGAAATAGAAAAGTGTGAACAAATAAGTAATAATAAAAAAATTGTCGCCTGTTATCTGGTTTCTACGGTTGTTTGACATTAGTTTTACGCCTTTCAAAAATCGCCGACCATCGGACAAAATTTTCATTGCACGGTCTTCAGACGCCATAATAATTGTCGTTTCATGAAGAACAGTCTCACAATTAAAATAGAATAGAATAGAAGTGTAGGCACTGAAGAAATAGGCCCATGCCCTTTTGCCCATTTTTGTACTTTTCGTTACTTGATTCAAAAGGGATCTGGCTTTTGGAACCCGATCTTCCCATAACTGACAATTGATTATTAGTACAATGCTTATGGTTTCATGAAGAACAGTCTAACAATAGATACAATGTTTACCGTTTCCTGAAGGACTGTCTTACAATTAGCATAATGATTACCGTTTCCTGAACGACTGTCTCACAATTACTACAAAGATTACCGTTTCCTGAAGGACTGTCTCACAATTAGTAATCGACAGCGCTTGTGGAATAAGAAGCAAAAGTCAGACTCAAATCAAGTAGTTGGAGAGGACTGCAAATCGACAGCTCCTAAAATTGTTGCGGATATCAATTGTAAAAAATTGTAAAGAAAGGTGCAAAAAAATGTATTCACCAGTACTTCGGCAATTAAAAAAACCTTTGTTTTGAAGAAAATAGTTTATACAGTAGAGCTTATAGTTAGAAATATTAGGAACAGGCTTCCAAGCAGTGACAAAACATTAATGTGATATTCTTAGACGTATCTTCGTATACTTTACGTCTGATAACCAACCGATGGTACATCAAACATCCAAAAATAGCAATTGATTCCGACCAAATTTCTTTTATTGTTTCTAAAAGAACTGGAGGAAATTTCAAGTGAATAATAGCTTGATATTCTTCATAACATTTAGCAATTTTTTCGTATCAATACAGCAAAAATCATGTGGTTATTGCTGCAACACGGTAACCGACATTATATTTAACAAAATATTAGTGATTCTTCAATCGTTACTAATATTTTTTCCAGCCAACATTCAACATTATTTCACTTTTGCTTCACAGTCACCTCCTCGCCTCACAGTCACACCCTTTCCGATCGTCAGACAGCCTATAAATCATCTCTCTTCATCATAAGACATGACTATAAAATACGGTCACATCGCCCAGTGATCGACTGCGAAATACATTCACATTATCCAGTGATCGACTGCAAAATACATTCACATCGCCCAGTGATCGACTGCGAAATACATTCACATTATCCAGTGATCAACTGTGAAATACATTCACATCACCCAGTGATCGACTGCGAAATACATTCACATCGCCCAGTGATCGACTGCGAAATACATTCACATTATCCAGTGATCGACTGTGAAATACATTCACATCACCCAGTGATCGACTGTGAAATACATTCACATTACCCAGTGATCGACTGTGAAATACATTCACATCACCCAGTGATCGACTGCGAAATACATTCACATCACCCAGTGATCGACTGTGAAATACATTCACATCACCCAGTGATCGACTTCGAAATACATTCACATCACCCAGTGACGACTGCGAAATACATTCACATCGCCCAGTGATCGAGTGTGAAACACATTCACATCGCCCACTGATCGCTTTAATCGTCCGCGATTTTAAGGCTACCGACAGCACCGGCTATTCGTCATACCCCATGACCCCAAATCTGTCCTTTCCTAGCGATATGGTGAAATTGTTTCATCCACGAAGTCAGTCAGTTTAGGCTTCCTCAGATGGAGTGGAATTTACATGGAGTGTGGCAAATTAAACGATGAAGTTGGCAAGTACAGTTACTTGTAGAGCAAAATTTTAAATTTTTAATGCACTGTTCCTGGTAGTAGCAATCATTAAGTTAATGTGTTTGTAAAGATTGTCCTCTAAAATATGCTGTGCCGCTCCAACAATTTTCTCGTTCCGAGCACGACTCTAACGAAATAAAGCTAAATATTTGTGAACAGGTGGGAATTCGAGTTCATTGAGAAGGTAAAATTAGTTTATATTATTATTAAACAGCAGTACTTTGGTAATAGATTTTTAGGCTTGCTATTGCGCCTCTGCACCTTGACTAACCTGACACCGGCATAATGCTAGTATATATGTGCTAAATGAGGCCAATGGAGCCTTCAATCAAGCGAAGAGGTAGCGTTTACCGTGAATGCAAATGACTCTAATCTTCACTTAGCGCTATTCACTTTACTAGTGATCTTGAACTAAAAGTATGCCCAATAATTAAATGGGAATATTAAGAGAACGATACGTTGAAGATTTTCATACGCTACTTTGCTAGCGTGGTAGCATGTTCACCACACAAACTAAATCGTATTCCAATGCCAGCAATTGATTATTTCACAAAATATGCACCAATCCACAGAATACTAAATGAATGATGAATTGCTAAGTTATTCATTAAAAATTGTAAAGCCGTATACGCTAAAACGAAAATAAAGTGGAAGTTTTGAGTTTTATTTCCAGATAACAACAAGAATTTTCTTTCCTTCGACTGATCTTAAATACGCTAGAAGTAATAACACCAGGCGAAGCTTGTAGATGATGCGCATTTTCGCGACCATTGAAAGCAAAAAAATTACAGTGGAAAGAAATAAGCAGTTGAAAAAGTTGAAAATAAAAATGTTCGCTTGAAAAAGAACTCGTTAGTTAATTGATCATCGGTGAGGTAGAACTTTTCGTTTTTTAATAACATTTGTTTCCCTCTTCCAGGCTAAGCTGTTTTTAACAACAAACTCAAGAAATAAGCGTCCCTAATTATTATTGAGAGGGAATTCCATCCTTGTTAAGTCGTTGTTCTGCACAACTGATGATTATTTTGAAGATCGTCAAATTTAAAACAAAGCCTGTTATCTGGGGTGCAGTTCACCAGCTTAGCAACAATTTATCGATGATGTTGCAATACGGTAACAGCATATATTTGGGCCACGAAACCTATAAGAACTTGAGTAACAGCATTATATTTAGGCCACAAAACCTATAAGAACTTGAGTAACTGCATTATATTTGGGCCCCAAAACCTATAAGAACTTGAGTAACTGCATTATATTTGGGCCACGAAACCTAAGAACTTGAGTAACTGCATTATATTTGGGCCACGAAATCTAAGAACTTGAACGTAAAACCTGTATAACTCGCCTGCTGTTGCGACGTCACTAGTCCAGTCTGTGTGTGACCGGTGACAGGCCGCTTCTAAGCGTCCGTGGGTAAAGTCACAAGTCGTGTTGTCCAAGTCAAAAAGTCGCAACAAGTCAGCGTCGTAACGCCGACAATTTCCTGTCTCGACGGTAGCGCTCACCGAACAACACTGAAGAAGATCTCGGACTGCGAGCTGCCTTGGCCATGAGTCCGGCCAGCGCGGCAGACGCTACTCGCTGTAATCAAAGGAGGCTGTTTGGTCACGGACCAGATCTCCAGATTACCAAGTTGATTCAGCACCGTCCATCTCCCCGGCCACTCTCACATCTGCAAACCGCTTTCTTGTCCGTCAATAATTTCTTGACCATCATAGAAAAGCAAATTTCATGCATTTGATTGCATTTTGATATACTTTTCTTTTGGTTTTCGACAGACAAGAGTACCGAAAAGAAAAATGCGTTTCAAATGATATAAGGGCATTTTTATCGGATGTATACAGTGATAGGGATTTAGAAGTTTGCTAAATTTCTTAAATTGAGCTGCTAACGTGACTTTTAAATACGCCTTTTTATCTAAAGTCTATAGCAGCGAATAATCGAAAATTATAGCCCTATCAGCTAGATTATCAACAAGCGTAGGTATATATTAGATGAAACACTTGTGAAACAGGTTACGTATACTAGATAATTTAAATTAAGCATTGCTGTACTAAACCTGACACGAACAGATTTAATTGTTTATTATTATTTGAGCTGAAAACAAAACAGGTTTCATTGATCGTACAGTCAATCGAATTTCAGGTACCGAATCATAATTGTTCGAGTTTATTAAATAACCGATCGCACGATCGTCCTTCAAAAACGGTTTGGCAAGCAATGATTTCAAAATGGTTCGCATTAATTGATAGGTCACAATTTAAGTCAACACCATCACCATCAAGAACATCCTTAATGTTCACATCAAAGCAGGAACAATTGAGCGAGCATTGAACTCAAGTGTCAATGTTCATAGAAAGAAACTACAATATGGCGCGCGCGTGCAAACTAGAACAACGTAACGGGAGACTCTGTGCGAAGACACGAGTCAGACTGCGTGGTACGCGGTCCTTCTTTCCGTCCTGGTAATAACTCTGATAATCTGCATGCAGCTCTGCAGTTATGCGCAGAGCAATACATGCGGCTACCGTTTGGTAAAAAAATAACGTTTTTTTTAAGGTTTAAATGGCATACGTTTAATAACGTTTAAATGGCGTATACGGCTTCGCCACATAACTTGAACTATCCTGTATCTGATCCTTGGCGACGATTTCTTGCGTGCTGTTATTAGTTCGTGCAGTCGAAGGCAGTTCTTATCGTCTTCTTATAATAGTTGCTGCTATCGTCTTTTTTATAATGACAGTTGCGACGAATGATTAGTACACATGAACTATAGCTGTAAACGTCACCGTTTTAACAACGGTATTCGGTATTTGTCACGCTCTCATCATACTCTGGAACCAATGAGGTTATTTATAATGCACAATGAAGGATTAACGTTAATTAGGAACGAATCATTTTACTGTATTATAGACTTTTATTGTATTTATTTTTGGGCTATTACTTGTGCCCGTAGAAATTGTTTTACTTTTTTCTTATAGTCGGAAAATTGGCTCTGCGTGAGACAGCAGTTAAAGGCCAAATTAATGTAATTTTTTGAGAAGCTGTACTGTTGCAGTGGCATCAACTGTTGAATATTCTTCCGAAATTAGAAATATTGCCGAAGATTCATTAACGGACATTGGACTTGCATCTGCACTTCATACTTGCAGATAATAGAGACAGCGGCAGGACATTCGAGATTTCTACCGCACAGAGGTGCAAAGCAAAAGGATTTTTTTTCGTAAACAGCTTATAGGTATATATACTTGTATATCATGAATATTCCATTGTTTGTCAAAATTGATCCCATGTACTCTCAAAAATGTTCATGCAACCAAGCTGGTCGCCTCTGTTGATATATTATGAATGTTAAAAGTAAACTGAGATCATCTTACTATGCATAGTGAATAATCGCCGTATGTGCTTCTGGAAAGTTAAAGGATATAAGGTTAATGAAAAATTGCGCACGCTTCTCTTTAAAAACAGCGAACGTTTCCCTTAAAGAAACAGCATGCGTTTCAACTTTACAAATAGATTACGCTGTCTTTAAGCAAACGGCTTATGTTTATTCTCTAGGATTCATTTTAGAAACCATGAGCTTAAATGCATAACAAATGAGGATGGATGAATTTTTTTCAGGGAGTATTAAGACGAGCTTCCGCCTCCAAAAGTTTTCTGCTATCTCGACGCACGGTATAGCGTCGTGTCCAGCGCGATATACCGTATCACCGTTGTCGAGTGACGACCGATATAGCCACCATGGCTGATAATTTTTTAGGTAAAACCATAAAATATCTCATCACTGTAAAACATAAAAACTTGAATATTACAGCTCATAAGTGCAATTTTGTACTCAAGAGTCGTGAAATGTGTAGGCACACGTCAATTATGTACAAATTAATATCTTGAAATCTTTGCAGATTTGATTATTGACACATGCCTATAGACATACTCTTACTTTTGAAGCAAATTCAAGTTATTAACCAAAAACATCAAAAGGAGTTTCATTCCGTTACTTTAGTTATCAACCCTCAAAACCGTAAAAAGGTGCAAATTCAACTTATCCAGCAAACCGATTGAAATTTTCAAGCTTCAACAACACACATAAATAACAGAACATGTGCTAACCCTCACCATTCCATATCATCATCTCTTATTAATTACTTATATAGAATTCCACACTGATGCACAGTACGTGTAATCATCCATTACCAATAGTACTCGTCGACGAAAACGTGAAGTCACGGACGGACAGACGGACGGACGGCCGGACATCTTTTAATAAATTCTTTTTGTCGCCTCAGAACGTTCTGCCAATGGTCAATATAATATACCGTGTGCGCAACCCGCTGTACACGGTGCCTGTAGCCGTATGGTAGAGAGTATGAAGACTCGCACTTTCTCTGCCATAACAAAACAAACATTTTTTACCCTTTCCAAAGAGATGAGTTCAAACTTTTCTCTATGGTAAATCCCCTCGCACGTGACAGAAGGCAAATAAAGTTTCTAGTTGTGTGAAACTCACCTCGTGTAAATCTTCCGTATAGTCCCTGTATACAGTTAATTCTTAGGCTAGTCAGCCTTCTTTGTAGACTTGGTGTTTGAAAAATACATTTTTCGGTTTGAATATCACTCGTGTTTGTATTTTATGCGTAATTCCGGTTTTCATCAGTGACGAGGTATGTTAACAATATCTGCCATATGTTCAATTCGAAATTATTGCAATTTGCTCATGGGCCCAATGAACGAAGTTTATTACATTAAATTACTTTAATTACATCAAAAGCATCATTCAAATTTCTCCGCTCCTTATACTAAAGATTATCCAAATAAAATTTAAACTTTTTGGGGGGCCCAAGCCACAAAATTGGATAAGCATGTACATTACACACATGTACATATTCAGGTTATCTCAACTATAATATCTCAATCATTACAGATATGGAGCTAACAATTGGCTCATCTAATGGAAAAACAACAGTAAAGAATAAATTCTTCATTCATTTAATGACTCTGCTTGCAAATGAATGTAAAGTTAGCAAAATGTAACTACATCATTAGGTAGAGAATCACTATAAATGGAACAATCTCCATTCAACAGCTCTGTATGAGCAACAAGTTATCGGGCATTATATTAACAATTAAGAAATATTATTTGCACATTATTCGCGCGGCGTTATAGCTCGTACTCGAAATATATATAACTTTAGTGTTTTTCGTGCATTCTCTCAGTTTGTACGACTCCTTTTAATTTGTACTTTGAATTATACTCGACTGGCAACTCACATACTCAAGGCAATACAACTATATACTCGTGCAACGAGTTTTAGTTCTCTCAACTTCATTCTCAATAAATAAATTTAATAAATTCCATCACATTTTGCTCTGAAATACTGGAAACACTGAATTAAGCCAACCAGCAGAAATTCAAAGATTTCCTAATCCGTACTTATTTTTAATTTTCAATGCATCTTACTCGGTTGCTCAAAGCTGCTCTTCAGTTCTGAGGCGCCTAAACAAATACAAAGGGCTTTAATCCTTGTCATAAATAGCTTAAAATAAGCCTAGCCTGACAAATGAATTTGCAATTTTTCACTATTTCTACGATTCCGGCTCAATTATAAATTTTGTGCACAGTAATCGCAATAGTCAACGGAGATTTAAAGACACAATTTATTAATCATTATACAAAAATATGTACGGAATTCAGCATTTCGAGATTGCAAGACTTCTAAGCACCACGATAGTGACAGAGCACAATCTTTTGAAGTTCCGAATGAAAATATTTGTGCGGGAACACAATTTCAGATTACATCGATTTATTTGCATAGCAGCTTAATAATATTTGGTTTAGTGTTTAGCAACTGCCACTTCCTGAAACCGATAACATCCTCTTTAAATAATCAACTAAGATATTTCAAATTTCATTAACCGAAGAATAAACAAAAAGAAAATGACTGTGAAATTTGATCAATTTATAATGAGACCCTCGCGGTGAAACGCCCAAATATCAGTTCCGAAGTTTAAGAAAACTGGTACAAGTATTCGGAGATGAGTAGATTTAGAATCTCTACGAATAGATTTAGAATCTGTACGAGTAAATTTAAATCTGTACGAATAGATTTAGAATATTTTCGAGTAAATTTAAAATCTGTACGAGTAGATCTAAAATATTTACGAGTAGATGTAGAATCTGTAGGAGTAGATTTAGAATGTACGAGTAGATTTAGAATGTACGAGTAGATTTCGAATGTATGAGTAGACTTAGAATGTATCAGTAGACTTAGAATGTGCAAGCTGACTTATAGATAGTACGAGTAGACTTGGATAGTACGAGTAGACTTGGATAGTACGAGTAGATTTAGAATCTAAATTGAAAAAAATAACATGTCCGTGCGCTTAGCGGTGCTTTTAATTGGAGGTACTCTGGACGATTTAGGTTACAAATGTTGTTTTGAATAAACACTGGGAAATTTTTTACGTGTTGTTCCTTCCGATGTTCTTGAAATTTGAACTGATG